CACAGACAGACACACAGACAGACACACAGATATACGGACAAGATTGCAAAATTATTTTTTCCCGTATCAGTGAGGTGTAAAACGTTGAGATTTGTAAAAATCTCGATTTTTTTTTTTTTTTTTTTTGCACGATTACAAGACTTTCTCTATACTTCGTATATACGAGAAAGTAAAAAATAAGCGCTCGTTCGTTTAGGCCAGTTTTTTTACAAGCTTTTATTTAACTCACTTCCTCTGTCGTCAGTCTTGACGGAAACGCAGGAGTGAAAATTCGGAAACTTCTACTTAACCGATACGATTCACATTTGGCACGTGGGTCAAGACATGAAGACAATGCAATCTGAAACTAAATTTGACTTAATTGGATGCCTAATTGATTTTTAATGAATTAATTAAAATTTGGACCGAATTAGTAGGCATGTCTAGCCAACCACACCACACGCGTCATCACCTTCAATAGCTGCGCTATCACGTAATGGCTGCGTTCAAAAACCATTGCGCGCCTACTGAACGTGATGTTCAGTAGGCGCGCAATGGTTTTTAGTCATGTAACTCTATTGCAAATAAAACATGTAACATACTGAAAAAAAAATTAATAAAAAACGTTTTAATAACTAACCAATGGTTTTACTAACCCTGCTCTTGATTTACGCTACGACTGAGCTATTTTTAGATAACATAAGGAAATTGCGCATAAATGTCACTAGACTTTTTAATTAACTTGTTTTCTCTGTAATACAGTGACCCAAGGTAATATACAATGCAATCAAGTAAAAGTATCTTACTTATCTCACACGTTGAAGCTGAGAGAATCGTAAGAATCATACAAAGAACTAGTCGCATCGTTTCTTTAAACAAAAACTGGCTAGTGAAATCGTACATTAAGGTTTAATACGATTGGTTTGTATTCTACGTGTTAAAAAGTTATTTGCTCCCCAATCCAGTACAAAAACCTTGCCATTTTTTTGTTGGCGAAAAAGCGCCCCTCCTCCCTATTATCTTGGACGTCACTCACTTTTTTTAATGTTACACAATATGCTTTAGAATTATTAGGTTTTTTTTCTAAGTGATAAAGGCACATCTACTCACATTTCCAGTGTACATCTTGCGAATTTAGTTGACGAAAAAGCCCCCCCCCCCCCCCATCTTAAAATTAGTTAGTAGAGCGGGTTTTAACGTCACTAGCTTTTTTACGGTTACAGAATCGTACAATACGTTTTAGTACAATTGGTTTCTTTTAAAAGAGGTAAAGTTTATCAATTCACAAAACCAGTGTAAATCTGTAAATCTTCCGCTTTTTGTCCGCGAAAAGGTTTTGTTGAGAATCGTAATAATGTATATGTTGCCGGGTTTTTAATGTCTCTTAATTTTAAGTCTCTTAATCAGCGTGTACATGCAGTGGCGTAGCGAGGTCGGGTGTCACCCGGTGCGGCACTTAATGGTGTCACCCCCAAGAGGCATAGAGACCCTTCCCAGGGACAAAGTTTCAAATTTTCGATTTGCACCCCCCCCCCTCAAACTTTCGATTTGCACCCCCCCCCCCTCGAGTTTTTCTCTATATATTTTGCTATTTTTTGCCTTGGTGTCACCCCCCTAAATAGTGTCACCCGGTGCGGTCCGCACCCCCCCCCCCCCCCGCACCCCCTCGCTACGCCCCTGTGTACATGTAATATGGTGTTTTGTTGACTAATTATGTAGGCCTATATAATTTGGTTTTAATTTTTCTAATAGGTATTGGTAATCTATCTTATTTTAAATGTGTCGGATTTTTTTTAGCTATTTAGTTATTTCTTAGCTTTGTCACTATTATCGTTCAACGTGTAGTAAAGCACAGCGTTTTGACCAATAACTTTTTTATAAAACATGTATTTCTCAAACAAGTATAACATTATTAAAATATAGGTAGACCTATAATTCCCGTGTAACGGGTTCCGATTGCTAGTAATTCATGTCAAGCCACGTGGGTATGGGGGGTGACACTCAATTTTATAAATTACTATAAAAAATTATTTTTGCAATTGAATTCATAGCTGTAAGATCCCTAACTGCTTTTTCTAGGTGGATTAATATAATGTTTGCATAAATTGACGCCACTCAACAAAAGGTTAGGGGGGGTGACACCAAATACAATTTCAACGATGGGGGCGAAACTACATTTGAAATTTACAAATCTGCATATCATTCGATCAAGCAAATTATTATACAAGGTGTGTGTGTGTGTGTGTGTAAACGTATGTGTAAGCGTGTGACACCAATAAGATAAAAGCTACACATTTCATAGTGTTTACGTAATTTAGCCCTCTGTCGATGTTTTTACTTATCCTTCTTTACTGATTTGTTAAACGTGAATTGTGATGTTTTATTGGTTATTTTTCTACTCTATTAAAAGTTGTTTGATATATGGCTAACATTCGTCTTTTTCACGGATTTGTGTCAATGTCATAAATATTTTTCAATACAAAATAACAACACTTGTAAAATGTATAAATTAAGTTAATAAAAACGAAAATGAATATATATATATATATATATATATATATATATATATATATATATATATATATATATATATATATGCGCGGATTGGCCGGCTCTCTTGGCCAAAGCCCGAAGAACTTAGAACTGAGATCGTATTTCGTACATTGGCCGGCCAATGCGCGCACTGGCCGGGACGTACTGGCCAAAGTCCGAAGTGCTTAAACTTGACAGCGTGTTTTGTACATTGGCCGGCCAATGCGCGCATTGCCCGGGATGTCCTGGCCAATGTTCTATCTAGACTAAGTTGTGATCGCGTTTTCGTTATTCTGGGTGCGTTTTCATTGTGAGTAACGTATTGTTTAGCTCTTGTTTGTATAGTATTCTATATGCAAGGCGACATGGATCAAAAGGGCCGTCAGACCATGAGACAGACATGTTTGGATGCAAAGCAAAAGTGGGACTTAGCACTTCAAATCTACCAAGAGAGGCTCTCAATAAAATAGTTACGGAGGAAGATCTTCAGAACATTGAACAAGAAATGGAGGTTGCCATAAATGCAACTACATCCTCAGCTAACACATCTACTGCCGTGGCGGAACGCCCAGACCAGTTACGTGACAATAATAAGGCCAACAGATTCTGTATAGTTTGTGAAAAATATTGTAGTTGTAGTGCAGCTCATTCTTGTGGATCCTGTGGCAAAGATGTCCATGTTATTTGTGGAATACCAAATGAAGCAGAAGAAGGGTACGGAGGGAACATTACCTGCAGATTGTGTCACAACAAACAAGACATTATGGAACACGGGTCAGCAGCTCACACTGGCTTGCAAAATCAAGGTGCTGTGCTTAAAACATCAAATACAAAATTTAAAGATGGTGAAGTGGGTGACAATGTACGCATTCGTTTTCCAGATGTTGACAGAGGTCACGGTGATTGCAGTTGTCATGAGCGTCGAGGGCGGTTTCTACAAATAAGGAACGGAACATGGTGTTCTAAAACAACTGTATGCTAGAAGTGAGTTTTCAATTCTTCACGAAAAACTGCTCTTATTGTCGTCAGTTGGCACTGAGGAAAAATCACTACGAACCATCGCATCTTCACAATCATTGACTGGGGGCCAAGGCTACACTCGCTGCAATTGCACAACAAAGTGCACAACTAATCGCTGCAAGTGTAAAAATGACAAGCTGCAATGTAATTCTAAATGCCATACAAGTTCAACTTGTTGTAACAAATGATAATACTGATTGATTGAGACTATAGTACAATAAAGAATTTGAATGTTTCTGTCATTTACTTTAATTAATAATCAATAAAGACTTCATTTCATGATCCTTACGGCATTAAAAAACCCAAAATCTGCTCATCATTTTCTAATTCGGACTTTGGCCAGTCGTCCCTAGCCAGATGATCTTCTAATTAAGACTTTGGCCGGTTTACCATGGCCAGTCCGCGGACTGGCCGGCCAAAGGCCGAAATCAAGAGCTATTTCAGACTTTGGCTGGACCACCATGGCCAGTCTGCGGATTGGTCGGCCAAAGGCCGAAATCAAGCAAAGTTTCGGACTTTGACCGACCTATGGGAGGCGATATTGGCCGATCCACGCTTTGGCCGCACTTCGGGCTTTGACCGTAACATATATATATATATATATCTTCATGGGATCCTTGCACTGTTCCAGCCATCATTGGATCGCATATAAATAAGTTACTGACACCAGGACTGCTTACCTGTTAAGCGCTATAGTTTATCTGTATTTCGATGTAGCCATATCTACTGTATGTTTCAAACGTATATGTTATAGTCATGTTGTGTACTTAAATTCAAAGAAGCGTTGATCCCTAACATTTTGGTATACGTAACAAGCATGCCTTTTCTTCACGAAAATTTTGGTGATATTTTTAAATGTCAAATTTTTTATTTTTTTTTACTTTAAGCAAAAAAAATGAGAAAAGCCATGTTCAATGCAATGCAAGTAATTTAATTGATGTACTTATTTGTTAGGTTAGAAAAAATTGAGTCTGTTTTCTGCGTAAATGTCTTCATGTCGGGTTCAAAAGATTGAGTTTGTGACATACTTTTATAGATTTAAGCCCCAAACATGGCACTTTTAAGGATGTCGGGAAAACAATAATTTTAAAACCTCATAATTTTTCTACTGCTTGAAAAAAATTAACAAATTTGGTATCCAGTGTCTTAGAATTGTGAGTTCTTAACACATCAGCTTTCAAAAAAGCTTAGGAACAGTTTAAAAAAATCAGTTTCACACACTTATAAAACGGCAATATTTGAAGGGAAACAAATTTTACATTACATGCTCAAGTAAACGATTCTTTACATTTATCTCCCTTAATTATTTCGGATGAAAACATATTTTATACAGAAAGAGGCAGATAGTTTAGAGTTGTGTGGTGGTAATGTGACGCATAGAAAAACTGTTTTTTTCCCTTCCTTTATCACATTCTAAATACATACGGATAGTTTGAGAAAACCTGTAAAATAAAAAAAAGCTAGCTTAATAGGCTACATATTTTGTTTATTGTAATGAGAAAAATCAATTCTCCACCAATTAAATTCAGTAAGTATTTCGTATGAAATAAATACCTACGTATCAAAAACCAATTTTCAATTAACAGAAATAAATTTGTAATGGTGACAGTTTTGCAAGTTTTATAAAATTGATATGCCATCAATAATGAGTTTTGATGTGATGTATTTAAGAAAACAAAAAGGCTGCATATTGCATTAGTAACAATAAAATTGGCTTGCTAACAAAACATTAAAGTTAAAGTTGAATAACTATTGTTATTTCGGAATTATAAATCCCCAAAAGGTTCTTTATTTTGTTTCATTTGTGATTCATAGTAAGCTTTGGATATTGTGCGTTTCATTTCATCATCTCCCTCATCATACATGTTTTTTAGTAATTTTGTAATTCCAACACTTGGGTCTTCTGTGTCATCAAATTTTGGCCTGAAAAAATACATTTTTAAGTAAAAGCTGCTCAAATCAACAGTACATACAGTTCAGATTTGAGTAAGTTGAAGTGTAATACATAGACTAACATATCTGAGAGTAAAACTAAAAACCTACCAAAAAATCTAATGTCCAAAGGACTTAACTGTTTAAAAAGAACTGAATTGGGTGCTGCATGTTTTTCAGGAATGTTCCAAATGAGCTGATATCAAGATAAATTAACGACTTACTTGTTTTTTTCTTTTATCTTTTTCTCCCGTTCTGTAACCCATGGCCAAGTTTTGCCAGGCTCTGACTTTTTTAACATTACCAATACATAATCAGACTTTTTCTGAAAATAGATTGCATTAGATAAATAAGGATGAAAAATGTGTCTTTATTCTACAACTAGTGATAGAAATATACAATTTTATTTTGTTCTGATGTGACTTAGAGCTTCATTTTGTAAACACTATGTGAAAAATGTCAATGGCATAACACTGTTTAAATAAAAACTTATGTAACATACAGCTGACTTGTTCATTAACTGACACCACACGTACAGCTGACTTGTTCATTAACTGACACCACACATACAGCTGACTTGTTCATTAACTGACACCACACATACAGCTGACTTGTTCATTAACTGACACCACACATACAGCTGACTTGTTCATTAACTGACACCACACATACAGCTGACTTGTTCATTAACTGACACCACACATACAGCTGACTTGTTCATTAACTGACACCACACATACAGCTGACTTGTTCATTAACTGACACCACACATACAGCTGACTTGTTCATTAACTGACACCACACATACAACTGACTTGTTCATTAACTGACACCACACATACAGCTGACTTGTTCATTAACTGACACCACACATACAGCTGACTTGTTCATTAACTGACACCACACATACAGCTGACTTGTTCATTAACTGACACCACACATACAACTGACTTGTTCATTAACTGACACCACACATACAGCTCATTAACTGGCACCATGCATACAAAATTGCACAATATTGCAAGGGCACAGCCCCTTGGAAATTAAAAATATTTTAATTGCAGAAACCTTTCCAGGAGAATTCTCAACAACTTTTGCAAGCTCCATGGCGATCAGATGAAAGGTTTGATAATGCATAAAAGTTACACAGACATATATAATTTCATATATATATATATATATATATATATATATATATATATATATATATATATATATATATATATATATATATATATATATATATATATATAAACAGAGAAAGAGAGAATGATAGATAGATAGATTGATATAGATAATCTTATGTGTGTGAATATTTAAAATATTTAAGCAACAAAACAGCCACAATTATAATTTATGCTTAAATTTTAAAATCACGTTTTACCTTACAATAGCAGTCTTTAGGTACAATTTCTTCACATAACTTTGCAATGTGCAATGTACTGATTTTATTTTGAAATCTGACTTTAACAGTAACTGACCTAAAATTAGAATTTAAAACATACATTAATATGACATCACAATATGAGACTGCTTTACAACAATGGGCTAATTTACTGGATATCTTACATACTTGTATCCATCTAAGGAATTCTTATTATAGTGTCTGTAAAAAAACTGAACATCCTGTACTTTTCCCACAAGTGGTGATAAAATGATAATTTTTTACAAGTCGGTTTATTTTATGATAGCACATTGGTTAACATTGTAAATAGGTCAAATACATCATTCATGAGTAACAGGATTTAAAAAGAATAAAAGAACTGACTTGTTAGTAAAACTTGTCTGTACATTTTGCTCTGTTATAGAATCAAGACCACCAAGAGTCAGATACAGCTTCATAAATTTGTCTGACTGGTCCCAGGCTAAAACAGTTAAAGATTTTTTTTAAATAGTCACCTATCTTATGTTTAAATGTTCAGTAAGAAAAATGTTTCTATCCAGTTACAGATGTATGATACAATGAATGAAAGAAAAAGTTAAGCATGTAATTCTATAGCAATTATAAAATAACATTTTGAAGTCATTTTACTTATTGCCTAGCTTATAAAAATTCAGCAATTCAACAAAAATAAAACTATATATAAAATTTTATTACCATAATTAGTTATGTTTTCTTCATATCCTGCTGAATGTTCTGCTGTGCATGTCTTTTCTTCAATACCTTTTATTGCTAAGGCAGCTTTTGCTTCCAAAGTTAGGATGTCTCTTTTAAGTCTATCAATTTCTTTTAAAAGATTTTCCTGAACTTTTGGTCGTTTAGCAGACTTGTGTAAGAGCTCATACTCTGCTATGTCTTGTTTAAGCTGACAAGATATAATAAGATCCAATTAAATGCAGAGAGGAAACCATACAAAAAACATGCATGGTAAAAATATATTTTAATGGGTGACATTCCAGTTTTTCAGGACTTTAGTCAGTCTTAAGGTGGGAGCCTGATATTAGTTTTCTCTTAATGATATAAATCTCTAAATCTTAAAGTATGGACCTTAAATTTAGAATTTATGTCAATTTTTAATGGATATACTTTGCAAATGGAATAGGTTAAATTAGGACATTTTTAAACTCTAGATATTTAGGCTATGTGATAATGTTAAATAGGCTGTAAACTTAGATCTAGTGGCAAATTAAAGATTTTAAATTGCAATAAAATCTAAAAAGGCTAAACTGAGCTTCCTGGTTTTGTTTTTGGATGAGTCTAAAAGAACATATTTTTTATGTTGTGTTTTGTTTTTTTTTAATTCCATACGATATCTAGAGATCTTGCTTTAAATACCCAATATCATTCCTGACAAATATCATGGTGAATGGGAGTCGTTAGGGCTATGGTCAATGGTATGAACTTCTCTAAACTCAATAAGTTCAGCGTGCATTGATATTTTCTCGATTATTTAGAATTAACATCTAAATCTTTTTTTTTTTGTTCCAATCAAAAAAATAAACCCACATCTTAATAAAACCATGATAATGTACTAAATGTGGCATTCTTATTAAAATGAATAGGCCTAACTTATTATTGTTAATTATTAATAATTATTTTAATAAATGGCCAAGGCTATTCCCAGCCGGTTGGGAATTGAATAGCCGTATCGGGGCTATTCCCAGCTGGCTGTCATTTCATGCTAAAAACGACTGGGAATAATATATTACAATAATAAAAGCATTAATTGTGACTGGTGAGGTATAGATGAAGAGAGCAGTGTTGTTTTTATTGTGTTATATTTTCATAACAAAATTATTAGCCTATGGTTTATTAAATTTAGCTTTTAGGCTACATACCAATGCTGGTAGTAGATGAACTGATCAATTATCATTCATTATGCACTCTAATGAATTTTTATTAAATCTATACTATTCTGATTAATAGCTCTAGTAATTTTTTAAAAAATAATATTAATTAATAATTATGCATCAGTTTAGTTAGTAGTTCACATTGCTATTCAACTGTCAATAACCATTTAAAATTCGCATAGAACAAATATTAGGTGAAATAGGATGTCCTTTTAATTACTAGATCTAGATCTAAAATTTCCATCACACTTTTCTCAAGTTGTTTTTTCTCTTCGCAAAAATCTAAGGGACGGGTCTTAATATCACGTCATAAACTAAACGATTAAAAAATTAACAAACGTGACCCTTTTATAAACAACGGGAATAATAAAATTTAGATAATAGAGGGCATAAATTAAGTGTTAAAAGAAAAGGCACATGATGGGTTCAAACCCGCACCTTCCGGGACAGCAGCCACCCACATTTCCACTCGACCACACAACTTCTTAGTTACTTTGGTGTTTTTAACATTAAATCTGGCTACGGCCTAAGCTAAGGAGTAGAGTCTATATTATATTAATTAGTTTAATGGTTTAGTTATTAAGTTATAGATCTAGTAAAATAAGTATAGTTACTTTGGTAACTTTAGTTAATAGTTAGTGGTAATCTATCGTTTTGGGTACGTAAAATCGCCCGCGGCTATTAATGTACGAAAATGTTACCTCATTGTCAAGGCTGTAATAGAAGTATATTGTGATATGTTTGTGTCAAATATTATAGATAAATGAATAATAAACCTAAATCAACAGCTAAATATATCAATATAGGCAAGAAATTAACTTTAAACAGCAGTGTCTTCAAGCAAGATTTGCTATATAAACAACAGCCATTTGTAAAATAGAGTGACTTCCCCCTGAATCTTGCGCTGTAAGTCTAAAAAAAACAAAACTTTAACAAGATGGCTGCTATATAGTAAATGAGCATGGTTGCATCTGTTGGAAACATCGCTAGTGTTCATTTATTACTGAAAAGTTTTTATTTAATTGTTTAAAAACATGTAGGCCATTGTAGGCCCCTACATAAATGAAACAAGGAAACATTTTTTGTATTTTTCAAAATATAAATTCTCCTCAAAATGTGAAATAAATATTACAATGTAAGGAGTCACCTGTTTTTCACATTACTAGTCGCGGGCGATTTTACGTACCTAAAACGATAGATTACCGTTAGTTAACTTGACTTAGATTAGAGACTAGAGATCTAGAGCTAATCTAGTTATTCTTAGTACTGAGTGTTAATTATAATAATTATTAGGCCTATATTATTAGATCTAGATGGGCCTATAATAGATGTAGCTCTAAATAATTAGTATTAGTTATTTATTAGTAGATTCTAGTAGTTGTATAGATCTATTCTAGATCTAGAATCTAGATTCTAGATCTAAATCTAGACTAAGTTAAGTTAGTGACAGGCAAGGGGCCTACCTAACTGTACAAATGTCTGCTTACCTCGTCTAAATCTGTCGACATGATTTTGTCTTTCTATTCTCAATAAAGAAGGTATTTCAATAGATTTTCTAAATCTAGATAGATATAGATCTAGATCTAATCTATTTAGACTCTAGATTCTAGATCTACTTTCTAAGAACTGTCCTCTTTTCTAAAGAAAAGATCCACAAATTAATGATTTTTCTAGAAATTTCCGAGTAGTCAATGTTTTTTAGCAGAGTGGTTCCCCTTTAGATCAAAGCCCGTGTGCGCACTTCTCTCTCCCTGTCCGCAAAAATATTTTTTCACAGGATATGAGATCAGTATCTTCAGCGATATATCATATAGATCTATATTATATGGAGAACTTGATACGGACTTATGTTGAAAATAATGTTACATGTTTTTAAATGTATAAACTAAATTTCTTTAAAGAAAAAAAAAGAAAAAGAAAATCATATCCGAATGTTGCCAAATTTTCGGAAGAAAAATGCTTTTTTGCCTGTCCCATTTATAAATTTAACCCCTTAATGCCTGAATTATGTTCCAAGCGTGTAAAAAATTATTTGTGCTGATTTTCTCTCATCATACTGACACTGAATTTGAGGTATATAGTTGTTTTTAAATTTGGACTTATTTTTTATGTTAATTACGGTATGTCGCGAAAACGCGACATCAGGCACTTATGGACCAAACAGTAATATTTTTTTTTAGTCCCGCAGGCTCATTTTACTATATTTATTCACACGTGTTTCTCTAATTATATACGCAAAACAATAGAATATCACAAAATACACATATGGACATGCAAGCAGATGTAGACTCACTTGCAAAATTCATGAAAACTATAGTTTATTAGTTCAGGCATAGAGTTACATAATGTAATAGATTGAAATAATTGTGAGGTCAAGGGAACTCACTCTTCTGTATTAGTTATATTTATAATATTGTTATCTTGAGTGATGTCCCTTGTGCACTTCCTTCCGTCCTCTCTGTGTGTTACCATCGTGGTAGTTAGACCCAAATAAATGTGTTATATACAACCACAGGCTTCTGTCGTCAATCTATTATAACTGGCGACGAAGGATAAACATCTACTAGAAAGAGCACCTACTTACGCAAAAAAGAGGTTTGCTAGAGCTTATTAGCTAATTATTTCTAGAATTATGGCGCTGTATGGCCAAATAAAAGAATTCGATGCGAATGATGAAATCATTCAAGATTACCTAGAGAGGTTAAGCTTTTACCTAGAAGCTAACGACGTGACGATAGAAGCCAAAAAGAGAGCTATTTTGTTAACAGTCATAGGGCCTCAACAATTCAGGCTACTAAAGGACTTATGCGCACCAGCTAGTCCAGATACCAAGAGCTTTAACGAGCTGAGCAAATTGCTAACAGACCACCATGCGCCTGTACCATCAAAGTTTCTATGTAGAGCTAGATTTGACAGTAGGACTCGTCAACCAAACGAGTCAATATCAGAATATGTTGCTGCTTTACGTCATTTAAGTAGATTTTGTGAATTCGGAGACACGCTGTCTGACAGATTATGTGAAAAGTTTGTGACAGGTGTAAACAGCCCTGATATTCAAAGAAAGTTGCTGCTCGAGTCAGATCTAAAATTGGAAAAAGCAATACAACTTGCAATGTCATTCCAGCAGTCATCAGATGCGGCGAGATCTTTAGCACCTTCAGGGATCCATGCAGTAAACAGCAGGTTAGTCAATAAACATCAACCCCATCAGAGCATTCCAACTTATGCTAAACACCCTGCTCGTTCAAGTCCTAGATCTAAATCTAGTAACAATTATCAAAAATGTCATCGATGCAAAGGTCCCCATGCATCTCATCGGTGCAAGTTCAAGTTAGCAACTTGTTATAAGTGCGGTAAGCAAGGTCACATTGCCAAGGCCTGCTTCGCAAAGTCTTCGTCTGTTGCTAAATCTAGCCAGTCAAGACAGTACCGCAACCAAAAGCAGCACTATGTTAACTCTCACCAAGACTACCTAACCCAACCAATGAACCACTCTACCTGTGAAAATTCTCAAACTGATTCGCAGCCGGATTTCAACCTATTCTCTGTGAAATCAATAAGTCATGCTCCCATCAATGTACCAGTTTATATCAACGGTAAGAGCATCAGCTTCCAACTTGACACTGGAGCATCTCTAACAGTCATAACAAAGAAAGATTTTGACGCTGTCACAGGAGGATCAGTGTCTCTACAGCCGTGTCACAAGTGTCTAACAACATACACTGGTGGCAATGTTCCGGTAATAGGAGAGTGTATGGTTCATGTAAGTTGTAATGGTCAAAGTGTTAAACTTCCTCTTCTTGTGGTTGAAGGAAATGGACCGCCATTACTAGGTAGGAACTGGTTAAGTCATCTTAAGTTAAATTGGGAGAGTATTTGTTCATTGAAGAATGTAAAAGAATCTAGTCTTACTTCACTAGATAAAGTTATATCTGAAAATAAATGTGTTTTTGGTAATTCAGGTTTACTAAATGATAGAACAGTGAAGTTAAGCATTAAAGATACAAATCCAAGATACTGCAAAGCTAGAGTTCCACCTTATGCAATGAGGAATAAAATTGAAAATGAGCTAAGTAGATTGGAATCTAATGGCATTATAAAGAAGGTAGACTATTCCGATTGGGCGACACCCATTGTGCCAGTGTTAAAGAAGGATGGTTCTATAAGAATTTGTGGAGATTATAAAACTACACTGAATAAGCAAATAGAGCTAAATAGGTACCCTATACCTAACATTGAGGAAATTTCCTTGAATTTGGCAGGAGGAGACAAATTCACTGAATTAGACTTTAGTCATGCTTACACTCAACTAGAACTGCATCCAGATTCAAAAGTCTATACGACAATAAACACACATAAAGGACTCTACCAATATGAAAGACTATGTTTTGGCATATCATCTAGCCCTGGAATTTTCCAAGCTGTCATGGACAGTATTTTTAAGGATATTCCAAATGTTTGTGTGTACTTTGACAATGTGTACATAACTGGTAAGAATGACACTGAACATCTTAAAACACTTGATAAAGTATTGAAAATTGTTGGTGAAAAAGGTTTAAAGATAAACAAAGATAAATGTCAATTCATGCTGACAGAAATTAGTTTTCTTGGTTATATATTAAGCAAGCAAGGCATCAGACCTCAACCTGAGAAAACAAAAGCCATTAAGGAAGCACCCAAACCTGAAAATACCCAACAACTAAGAGCTTTTTTGGGCTTGATAAATTACTATGCAAAGTTCATAGGAAATCTGTCTGGTAAACTATCACCACTGTACAAGCTGCTACAGAAAAATGCAACTTGGCACTGGGGTAAACAACAAGATACTGCTTTTAATACAGCAAAAGAGGCTTTGTCTGCTGACACCTTACTAACTCACTATGACCCAGGGAAAAGACTTATATTAACATGTGATGCTTCACCAGATGGTGTAGGAGCAGTCTTGTCCCACATGGATGAGAAGGGTGACAGACCCATTGCTTTTGCCAGTAGATCTTTGAACCAGGCTGAGAAAAATTATTCTCAGTTAGATAGGGAAGGCTTAGGCATCATTTTTGGTGTTAAGAAATTTCATAAGTTTCTGTTTGGTAGGAAGTTCACCATCTTTACAGATCATAAACCATTGCTAGGTTTATTTGGAGAAAACAAAACCCTACCTGAGCATGCCTCACCAAGAATTCAAAGATGGGCTATCACACTAACTGCATACAATTATGAATTGAAATACAAACCTGGATCTGAGAATAGTGCAGATAGTCTTAGTAGATTACCTTTAAAAAACCAAAGCCTGAGCTATGTACCAGAAGATGTATTTGTTCTCTTCACTATCATGGATAACTCCAATATAAATGTGAATGATATTAAAAGAGAAACACAAAAAGATGAGTGCTTAATAAAAGTATATGAGTACTGTAAGAATGGTTGGCCTGAAGAGTCAGTGAATGATGACTTAAAGCCATATAAAATAAGAAATAAAAACCTTTGTGAAGATAATATAAAAGATGGAGAAGATGCAGTCCATTATCAGTCAGATTTGCCTAAACAAAGTATTTGTAACTTAATAAATGATTATGGTGATATGGCAATTTCAAATGTTTTAAAGAGAATACATTAGTAAGAAGGAATGTGATCATCAAACAACTTTGCTAACATCATTAGCACTTACAGAAACTAAAAGGGTAACATCAAAAGAAAAAAAAAAAGATTTTTTGCCATTTAATACTTTCAGATGCCAATTCAAAAATAGTTCCATTAAATCATGACAACTCATGCATTGAAAGAGAATTTGGTGTTAATAATAATGTGTATCTAAGAAATTATGGGAGAAAGGAAAAATGGATACCAGGTCAAATTGTTCAATGTACAGGACCTGTGTCTTATAAAGTAAAAACAAATGATGGACTTATTGTCCGTAGACATGCAGACCAGTTAAAAATAACTTGTGCAGATAATAAGTGTGAATCTGTCAATCCCACCAAATCTGAACAGTTCACACCAACTCAGTTGTTCCACAACCAAGTTCTGTTGATATGAGTGAACCAAGTTGTCTGGAGTCAGAAAATGTAAATTCTGGAGTTAATGATTTAAATCCTAGACCTCCTGAGATAGAGAATCCAAATGGTCAGAATATTGAGTCACCAAATCAAAGGCCACTGAGAAGGTCAAACAGGACAATCAAAGTCCCAAATAAGTTAGACCTATGATTTTAAAGGTCAAAAGGACTTTGACATCATTGTTTTGTATTTTGATTATGTTGTAGCATATTGTGCATTGTTTGTAAGGATGTAATCTACCATAGTGTTCATGTTACAATATAATTGGTGATGTTAGGATACTATCAATTGTTCTATTGAGAGATGTGTTATTGTGTTCTAAGGGTAAAGGGATGTAATAGATTGAAATAATTGTGAGGTCAAGGGAACTCACTCTTCTGTATTAGTTATATTTATAATATTGTTATCTTGAGTGATGTCCCTTGTGCACTTCCTTCCGTCCTCTCTGTGTGTTACCATCGTGGTAGTTAGACCCAAATAAATGTGTTATATACAACCACAGGCTTCTGTCGTCAATCTATTATACATAACTCTGCTGCACCTGCTCACTGTCTAACTCTTATGAATGGGTATTTTGAAGCCTTGCTGTCGTGGTTCTAACACACTACATATGAAAAGATTTTCTTAAATGTGTAGAGCCTTACCCAGTCAGCACACATATATTGGCCCA